CCTTCTTTATTCATCCGTATGGAGAATCTTTATTTAACTAGTCATGTCATTGTAGTAATTCACTTTGTCAAGTTGTATATGTGATCATATTAGAAATAGGAGACTCATGCTCTAGGTGAAGTTGCGATGAACAGTGGACGCGAATATGATGGCTCTGCCAGTTCAAGTTCAAGAATGACTTGTGGTCCAACCCCTTATAAAAGCAGTGGAAGCTCCTCCCTCGTGATTGCTGCTTATCCCCTCCTCTGTTTGGAAGGTGGAGAAATAGGGTAAAGATTAATAAATAATGATTGGACTTCAGAATCTGAGACGGGTTTAAATGGAGTGACATTGACAGTTTGGATTCATATAGCCGACCTAGCTTACTTTGAGTACCTGCCTTTGCATCAGAGCAAGCAGGAGAGCTTATTTGTGCGCATATTTTCTTGTTCTATGCAGTAATATAATTCATGCATCAGAGCAAGCAGGAGAGCTTATTTGACAGAACAGATTGCCGTAAACGTATTGAATGTTGTCTATATGACTACCCCTGTATTTTACTATCACATAACCAAGTGTGAGTAACTTAACTTTGAATGTTGTCAATATTATGCAGGTGAGATTGTGATAGGTAGAATAGAAACAGAGGATAACTGTATTTCTGGCTAAGCCTGTTTGCCTTAAAATTAATAGAATTGTGCTTCTTTATTTTTTTAAATTATGGGTTTGATAATGATGATAATGATAATTTATTCAAGTCTACAATTAGTGTTAGAAGATGTAATATACAACTTCAACACCAAGAAAAACGGTGGCGGAGGTTCAAAATATAAAAAATTAGATATACCGAAAAGTATTTGGGAGGGGGAGGTTCAAAATATAGTAAATATACATAAATCAAAAAAAATTATCTAGCAATACTAAGTAATTTTCTGACAAAGGGGTGTCGATCGACACTCCTCGGTTAAATGCGGCTCCGCTGAAAAAAGTACACGCTGTCATAGGTGGTTGTCGTGACCTCTAAGCTTTTACCAACTCATACATTTGTTTTATGTTTATTAGGTGGTCGAAATAGAAATGCTTTTATCAACTCATACATTTTTCATGTTCATTAGGTGGTAGAAAATAAAAGCTGATGAAGTTTTTATTATATCTATCAATAAACCCAAAATCTTTGTAACCTCGGGATTAGCTCAATTGACAAAGGTTGGATTTGTGTCTTAGATAATAGATTCGAGTCCTACACCAAACGAACTTACTTTAATATTTAAGTGAAGAAGATTAAAGGTCATTATCTTTGAGTTTCGAAGGGTGCGATTGACCCAAAGGATCTACTCCATACGAATTTAGTAAAAAGTTTAGCCTAATATAATTTTGTTTATCGTGAAGGGTTAGAAGTAATTAAAAATCCACTGAACTATAATACGTTACTTTTATAAATTTAATAAGTTTAATTCAATTGACAAGATTGACTAACACATCAACAATCTAAAAGCTATACATAGGTTTTGAGTTCAATTCTTCTATGTGATTGGAGTAACTTTTTTTAAAAAAAATCTTTTCTCATATTCTACTTATAATAGCCGATGTTACTAAACCTAATTACTGACGTTATTAGGGGTGAAAAAATGATCAAAAGAAAATAATTATCCATCCATATTATTCATTAAAAAATAGGTTGGATAATGAACTTTTTAAAAATGGATCAAATATGGATAAGAACTATATTATCCACTTAGAAAATGGATAACTAATGAGTTTAACTTTACATTTGTAAAGTCTCAAATTAAGGGTTCCTCAAGTTTGGGAGACTAGGAATTCTCCCCAAAGCAATCATATTCAAGAAGCCGTACATAATATAGATATCAATATTATACGCCGGTTAACCTGTTTTTTATCCATATCAAATATGGACAGAGACGGATAATTTATCCGTTTTGCATTACCCTTTTTCGACCTGCCATATCCGACCCGACTTGCCCGTTTGTCACCCCTAAACGTAATACTCCCTTCGTCTCATAATATGTGTCGTGATTCTCTTGTGCACGCCCCTTAAGAAAGAATAATTTTTGACTACATTACTATTATTAAATGTTCTCAATTTATGTGTCATCTCTATCAATGACATTAAATGAAATCAGGTTAAATAGTACAGTTAAAGGAAAAATATAATCAATTTTGTCTTGAACTTCTAAAATCACAAATAATTTGAGACAAATATTTTTAGTAACCACGACACATATTATGAGACGGATGGAAGAGTTGTTTCATTTATATTCCACCTTTAACTTAAATAAAGAAAGGTAAGAATTAAATATAACTAAATTACCCTCATTTCCTACTCGATTTTAATTTAATACTACTCTTCATCCACCACATTAATTTCTCCCCACATTTATTAGGGTAAGGGTTAAGATGGAAAAAATAAATACTTCTATCATGATTTTTAAAATGACAATCAAGTATTTTTAGTAACTACAATAATTAAAATGGATTGGAAGGAGATTGGTTGCGACTCCCAATATGAGCATCTAAAGAAATGAATTTAATATTTTCTAAAAATACGTGTCATTTGATCTTCCTATTGTAGTTGAACAAAATAGATTTGAAAATTTTTCTCCCTGATCTTCTCTTGATATGATCTCAACTATAGTGCAACTATCTTTATTTTTGTAATTCTCATGTTAGGTAGGTAACTCATATCTTGGATATGGTTTGAGAGTTAAGAGATTTCTTTATTGTTAAATTCACAGAATTTCCTTTTTCTTGTTACTTTCTTCAATAATGGATTAGTTCATCGAGGATTGTTGTCGGATGGATAGGTCTCTCAATCTTAACAAAAATTCTTGAGATCGAACTTTAAAAATAGAAAAAATTCTAGTAAAGAGCACGTGAAAATAGCTCAAATATACTCTCCGTTTGTCTTTAGTACCAAATATGTCCTCACCGTCTAAAATTAGACCACTATTGCCCTAAAAACTAACGGCTGCCACATGAGCTTTTACACCTATTTAAATATTATACGGAAAAAGACTAAAATATCCTTGAACTATTTGAAATAGACCAAAAATACCCTCCGTTTGTTCTTGCATCCTAATCACAAAAGAAATCAGAAAACTAAAATACACCAAAAATAGGTCTTCCATTATTCTTGTTGAGTTGCTCTCCGGACTTTGAAACTCCAATTTCGAAGTGTGCTGAAATTTGTGGGAAGTTGTACCTATGTGTCGAAGGATCGAGCTCATTGATTGGGCTTTAGGGTCAACAGATTTGTGGCTCAAATTTAATTCAAATGGTTGATTGTTGTTGGAAAACTTGTGTAGCCATTCTTTGTGAGTCGAAATTTGAAAATAGATGCTGATTTGAAACCTTCTTGGTGAAATTTCTTTTAGCTGTTGTAGGGTTATTGAAAATAATTGCTGTCAAATTTTAAGAGTTTTAGTTGTATGTTACTGTAAATTGCTTCAATATTGCGATTGAAGCTGAAAATTGAACTTTAACAACTGATTTCTTAGTTTGAACATCTGAGCTAATTAAAAAAAAATTATGGAAAAGTTCTTAAAAGCTTGATAATCTGAAAGAAACGTTTTGTAAATTTATGATTGGTTTGATATATTTTTGGTGTATTTCAGTTTTCGTTTTTTTTTTTTCAAGAACAAAGAATAAACTCTACGCTGTGTCGGATTGCTTAGGTGAATGGCCAAGTAAGCAAATGTAAAACAGCCATGTCAGCTTCATGGCAAAGCTAACGTTTTAAGGGGCATTTGTGGTCCAAAATATAGACGGCAGGGATAGTTTTGGTATCAAAAACAAACAGAGGTTATTTTTGAGCTATTTCAAATAGTTCAAGGACATTTTTGGCCCTTTTGAACAAAAACACACTGAAAAATCCAGAAATGTTCCAGCATAATATGCGGGAAGTTTATATGCAGGAGCTTCATAAACCGCATATTATGCTGGAACTTTTCGTGTACTGGAGTTCCAATATAATATGTTGGAAGTTTATACGCAGGAACTCCATAATCCCGCATATTATGCTGGAACTTTTCGTGTTTTAGCAAAACGGCTATTTTAAATGACTTTGCAAATGCTAGCTATTTTTCGATTATCGAACCGAAAACTGACCAACCCGTGCTATTTTCACAAAGAGCACTTTCTCCTTTAATGGGCTTTACGTAGTGCGAATCGGATTAGTCGAGACCCTAAAACAGATAATGGACTCCCAAGTGGGGCAAAAAAAGATCAGTGGTCACCAAGAATATATATATATATCTCCAAATTGTAAATGAGAAAATGAAAGAAGTGGTAGGAACATGGGAAAGTAGTGGCTAAGGTTATCCTTTATTCGTTTACATTGACTTCAACTTGTATTACTTCTCAACGTCCTATTGTAATTTATTGATAGAAAAATCTTGTGTTATGCATTAATTATATCTAATGCTGTTCTACGAAGTTATTTTGTCAAACATCCATCATTGGTGAAAATAGCACGCTGGCCAGTTTTTGCATTGGTAATTAAAAAATAGTCAGCGTTTGCAAAGTCATAACAAAAATAGCCATTATTTTATGGGAAGATAAAATATGGAAAAAAATATCCTTGTTGGTACACGGAAAGTTCTAGCATAATATGCTGGATTATGGAGCTCCTACATATAAACTTCTACCATATTATGTTGGAACTCCAACACATTATAAAATTTCAGCACATTATGCTGGAATATATTTTTGGTTTTTTAAGGATGGTATTTTTGTTCAGATTTTATCTTTACATGAAAAAGTGCCTAACGTTCAATTATTTTTAAAACTATAGCTATTTTTTAATTACCAATTGTAAATCGAGCTATTTCTTATTTTTGTCCTTATCAATGTTGTTTCGTATATTAGAATGCCATGTCTCTTGATTTTGGCAAGAGGAGAAAAATTTGTCACACTCGAATCTTGTTTTATTTTTAAGGTTATAAAACTCACATTTTAATTAAGAAGTTTATCTGTAAATGTTCTTTGGATATGACTCGATAATATAAAAAAGTTACTTATATATACACTATCGCTTATATAAGTTAAACTCTTCCGCTCACGCAAAGTAAGTATTTAAACAACCAAACTACATCACTCTGTGGTTACTGCTCACAACTCTTCAAAAAAATGTAGAAGAGGAGGAAATTAAAAGAAAAAAAAGAATTAAAGTTTCTAAATTTCACAAAAAATAATTAGCTAAATTAAGATCTCTTGAGTCCGTTGTACACCCAAATCACTTGATACCCTATTACACAACTGCATACAAAAATGATATTATAGTTAGTTTTACATGTTTAATTTGAATGTGCTGCAACTTTATTTCAACAAGGTACGTAGACGAGAATGTCGAAGTATCTATACCTGTCTATATACTGTTGAATCCCCTGAAGACTTTTGTAACTCTACGACATACAAAGATGGGCTAATCTCGAATACCTACAATTGTGCATCGAGAAAAAAATATTAAATATTTTTTATACCGTTAGTGTACAGAAATTAAACTACAGACTACGTACAGTAAAATGTTACGTACATACCTCTGCGACTACCGAGAGAGTAGTAGGGTATTTTTGTCCTTTGTATTCTTGTAATACTTTCAACTGCAATATATGTGAATGACGAACGCATATAAGACATTTGTGTATCAATTTTACGTGTCTAAAAATTTAATTATAGTACATGCAAATTAATTCAATGTCCATATTTTCTAGTATAATTGCTCTCCAAAATAGTAACCAGCAAATGTATATTAATATACATAAAATATATATATTTTATATATAATCAGTGTATATCTTTTGTATATTTGACTAGTAATTGTAATTATTACGTTATAAACCCATGCAAATATAGACAGAAGTATCAACTTCAATATATACTAACCCTTCCATGTCTTTTCTGGACGTGAAATCCCATTTGTGTTACTGTATTCTCAATCCTGTCCAGCAACTGTTTTGGTAAGAGATTTGATGTAAATCTGATTTTCCTCTCAGAAATGTCCTAAAATAATTCAAAATAAAATATAAGTCTAGGTTTTGTTAATTTTCATTGAATAATATGGTAAATAATTAAAATCAGAAGTTACCTCTTTCTCAAAAAATCCAGAAAGATCTAGACAAGATGACATCCCTATAAGTTGAAAGGCGTTGATAAGAGAATGTGATTCTCGATCTCTTTGAGCGTCAAGCGGCTGTAAAACAAGTCATAGATATTCGTGTCGTTATAAATCATTTTATTAAAGATAAAATAAGAAATTAAAGTAGTTGAATTATTTCTAAAATAAAGGCACAAAGCATCTCGCACTCGTGCATGGTTCCGGGAAGAGCTGCACCCTATAGGGGTGTGACATAGGTAGCTTACCCTGATACAAGATCAGTGACTGATTTTATGTAACAGTCCACCTCACTAGTGATATTGTCCGCTTTGGACATAGGCCCGCACGACTTTAAAACGTGCCTATAGGGGTGTGACATAGGTAGCTTACCCTGATACAAGATCAGTGACTGATTTCATGTAACAGTCCACCCCACTAGTGATATTGTCCGCTTTGGACAAAGGCCCGCACGGCTTTAAAACGTGTCACTAGAGTCTAAGATCTGTCTATTTATATCCCCAGTATTTCTTCTGTGTTTTGTCGATGTGGGATTCGGCACAAGGACGTTAAGCCCCTAAGGGAGGATGTATGTGACACTTTAGACGAATTCCATATCGACAAAACACGGGAGAGATGCTAGGTATATAAGTAGACAGGCATTAGACTCTAGTGACGCGTTTTAGAGCCGTGTGAACCTAAGTCCAAAGCGAAAAATATCACTAGTGAGATGATCTATTATATTTCACGGTTCAAATATGTAACCTAAATATAAAATGGAAAGTATGTACTGCTACTAAAAAGGAAAGTGTATCACATCAAATGAAAGTACATACTGTTACTAAAAAGGAAAATGTGTCATATAAAATAAAAATACGTACCGCTGCTTCTTGTACTGTTAAGACTTGATTATCTGTTGATATATGATCACATTCCAAATCTTCTTCATATGGATTTGCAGCAACATAATCTTGTTTGAACCATTCATTTATTTTGATTTCTGCCATTGTTATCCGCGTACGTGGATTGGGATCAAGAATCCTCTTTAAAAGGTTTTTTGCTCCTAAGGATAGCCATTTTGGTATATGAACATCTCCCTTAAATATCTGATTTCACATTAAAAAAATAAATAGTTATAAACAATTTCATACACAAAGGAAAAAAATATAAGAAATTTCTTTTACCTTTTTATAAAGTATTGCGAGGTTTCTATCGTCAAAGGGTAACTGACCAGTGAGAATTACATATAAGATAACACCACATGACCAAGTATCTGATGTCGCGCCATCGTATCCTCTGTTAGAAAGAATTTCAGGAGCAACATAGTTGGGACTACCACACGTTGTATGCAATAAACCATCATCCTATAAATAAGCAAGAAAATCTTTAAGCTTGATTAATAAAATTAATGTTTAAAATATATAAATTAAATAAATAAAAACGTATTTCTAATAGGCTATGAGATAGCCACACATTTCAATATAGTATCAAAGCAGACAGAGGTTCTAAATTAAGCTCCATACATACCCAAAATTGTTGAGGTAAAGCACTGAGTCCAAAGTCCGTTATTTTTATGTTTCCTTTTGTATCAATGAGAACGTTCTCTAGCTGCATTTCAAAATCACACGTGTAAAAAATATTTATACCATTAAGTCACTTAAAAAGCAATTGCAAGTAACTTTATTTAATATCAGCATTGACATGTAACTTAAAATAAATAGTACGGAACCAATTATAACGTGTTATTTTACACTGATAATGTGTAATATATATTTATATATATATCCTCAATAGTTACCTTTAGGTCTCTGTGGAAGACTCCTTTATCGTGACAATAACTAACTCCATCAATTAATTGTTGGAAGAGTTTTCTACCTTGTGCCTCGTTGAGTTTCCCTTTGGAAGCCTATTAATTAATTAATTAATTAATTAATTAATGAGGATTATAGTCAAATTATAATCAAAGATTTGAGATGTTAATATGCAGAAAGACAAGTTTATTGCAAAAGTTACTTACAATTCTGTCAAATAATTCACCACCATTCACGTATTCTAGAACCATGTATATCTTGCTTTTGCTTGCTAATACCTGTTTAATTATTAATATTAGTAATTCATCATTGGTAAAAATACTAAAATGAACTCAAAACCATGTACCCATGCAAGGACCAGACTCTCTATATATATATATATAGAAACTCATTAAATATTCATAATTATTTGACTATAAGTTCAATTATTATTATTATCCTATTAACTTCACATCATTGCATATAAGAACCCATATGTATATAAAATATTAAAATTGAACTCAAACCATGTACCCATGCAAAGACCAGACTTTAACCAAAGATATTAATTTACACCGTGAATAGGGGCGGATCTACATGTTATATCAATATCGTGTATCAATATAATGTATATAT